TGTGTTGTTCTTATTGACTTACTATTTCTAAACAGTGACTAATGTTGATCCCACAGCCATAAATTCAATTCAATATTTCGCACGGGCCTATCTCGCAAGTATACAAGAATTGCGCTTTCGCATGGGACTCCCTGGCAAATTAATGATGCGATGCGCCTTCGAAAATGTGAGGTCGCGCTTTCGCGGGAGATTTCTGAACGAGTTATTTGGGAATCGCGCTGTCGCACAAGACTGCGGCGCGATTCTTGCAGAACGCATGCTGCAGCGACCCGCTTGCTCAACGTAGCCACCTGGGCCCGCCTTCCCGACCTGCCCGTTCAGTTCTACCCGTCCGATCTGCCCGTCTGATTATACCATGTGTTTTCTGCTCCGACCCCCGTCCTGAAACTCTCTCTCGTGTTCCATCGTCCTCCCCCCATCCATCGTTTCATCCGTCTTCTCTTCCCCTGCCTGCGGGGCTTTGCAAAATGCACGTTGCAGGGAAGGTAACTATTCCCAAACAGGAAACGTTGCAGGGAAGAAAAGGGAGGGTCTCGAGGCTTTTGGGATATACGTACCAAAGCGAAGCGTCGTAAACTGATGTTTGCTGTTGTTGTTTCTGCTGTTGATGTTGTTGATGTGGTTGTTAACACGAATCGTATTACTGTTGCCGGTGCTGAAATCTCGCACTTGGCAGATAATCAATGTTGATCCCCCGGTGGACATTGTGATTTTAGAATTGGAATGCCCCTCCCGGGGGTTCCACCGTGTTCGGGCCAAACTACACCCAAAACATCGGCTCCCTCGCAATTACTTCAAACGCCGCTGCCTCGACACTCAGGAATCACGCTCTCGCTGTGGATTTCTCACAGTTTCGTTGGGAATCGCGGTATCGCTGAAGACTTCCATGCGATTCGTGCAGGACGCATGCTTCAGCAGCCCGCCTGCTCGACATGGCCGCCTGGGCCCGCCTTCCCGACTCGCCCGGTAGGGCCTGCCCGTTCGATCAGCCCCTGGTTATGCCACGTGCTTTCTGTTCCCAGCCCCCCTTTTGTTTCTCCCTCTCGTGCTCCATCTTCCTCGCTCCCCACTGCCCCTTCCACTCATGCTCATCCGTTCTAGCTTTCCTTGCCGAACAGGGCTGCACGGAATACTCGTTGCACGAAATGGAAATGTGCCCCGGAGAGGATGCGATCGCAGCCGGACAAGGCGGGTATAGAAGGTTTGGGATGAATGGCACGCGAACAAATAAGAGCGAACAACCTTACACATATATTTGCTGGTGCTGTTGGTGCTGGACTCGTTCTTCTCTTGATAGGTCCTACCTCCGGTAACCACCGTATCGTTTCAACAAACTGGGGATCCCGACCTTATTTATATCAGGTAAAATCTACAGTCACCAACCTGAGCCCTTCGCCTTCGGTTTACAACAACATTGCTCCCCCTGATACTTCTTCACCATGTATTTCAAATTCGCGCTGTCGCGCAAAACTTCTTCACAATTGATTCAGGGATTGCGGTCTCGCGCGGCACTGCCTCACAATCTATGTCGGCGCCGTGCTCCCAAAACTAACACATCCCGCTGTCGCTTTGGAATGCTGAACGCTCTCGTTATCGCTCGAAAATTCCTTCATGATGGGCTGACGATTTAATGACCCGCCCGCTCGACCTGGCCTCCTGGGTCCGCCCGCCTGGCTTGTCAGGGTTTGCACGCCCGACGCGCCAAGCTGGTTCTGCCGTTTGTGCTGCTGCTCCTGGCCATCATCCTGCTAAATTCTCTCGTGCTCCATCCTTCTTCCTCCTCCTTGTCTCCTCACTCCTCCCCACTTTCCCCTGTTTCACTGGCAGCGCCAACGACACGCGGCAGGCAAGGAAGGTATACCTCCCAGTCGGGGCACGATCGAAGACGAAGAGGGCGGGTACCGAGGGTTTGGGGTAGACGTGTGGAATGGCACGCGAGCAGATGAGAGCAAACAGGCTTAAGATGATTGCGGTTACTGCTGTTGCCGTTGTTGCTGTAGTGTTTGGTGTTGCTGTTGGTATAGAGTCTCCATCCCTGCAAACTACTGTTTGTTTGTATAGTTCTACTCAAGTGCTTTCCCTGGGGCTCGCACTCTGTTGTTCCCCCCCTGGCCCCCGGCGTATTACATCAACGGCTCCCGCTTGATACCTCCGCATCATGTGTTTCAAAGTCAAGACCTCGCGCGGGATTTCCCCACAACTGATGAAACAATCGCGCTCCCGCGTGGGACTTCCTCGCATCTTATTCGGGCGCCGCGCACGCTCTCGCTGTGGATTTCAGCACGTTCCTTCGGGAATGGCGCTGTCGCTCAAGACTTCCTCGCGAATCATGTAAAACGCATGCTTCAGCAGCCCGCCTGCTCTACCTGGCCGCCCGGGCCCGCCTTCCTGACCCGCCCGTGCGGGCGGACGCGCCCGATGGCTCCGTGTATATTTCTACCACGTGCGGTCTGCTCCTGGCCCCCCTCCTGAGATTCTCTCTCTCGTGTTCCATCCTCCTCCCTCCTCCCTATCCCTTCTCCCTCCCTGCGATTCTCTCTCGTGTTCCATCCTCCTCCCTCCCCCATTCTCTCTTCCTTCCATCCGTTTTCTCTGCCCATGCCTCAGGGCCTGCACGAAATACACGCGTCAGGCAAGAGAGATATACCCCGAAGGTTGTAAGACCGAAAATGACGAGGGCGAGTATCGAAAATTTCGGATGTACGTGTTAAACGGTTTGTTGCTGTTGTCGCTGAACTCTCGCTATTGCAAGATAAGTATGGTTGATCCCCTCCTGCTGGTCACCTTGCATCTGTCAATTGAAATGCTTGCCCTGGGGTTCGCTCCGTGTGTGTTTCTTGTTTCCTCTTTTACAAAAAAAGGAAATGAGGAGTCACCAAGTTGGGCCCACAGGCCACCGAAATGCAACAACAAGAGCGACAACAACAATCATTCTAAGACTGCTCGCTCTTACTTGCCCGTGTCATTCCAAACGGATTCCCCACACTCTCGATACCCGCCGTTTTTATCTTCGATCGCACCCCCTTCGGGGGGATTCTTTCTCTTTGCGGGGGGCGGCGGGCTTAGACAGGCGGGCAAACCTGAACGGGCGGACGGGCGGGAGCACACGACGGGCGGGCGATCCCCTGACGGGCGGGTCGGGCGGGTGGGACATTCAAGCGGGATGCCTGAGTACGGCGAGAGCGCGATTACTAAGTAACTTGTAACGGCGTCCTTGGCGCAGCGTGTTTCTTGAGCGTCGAAAGCGCGATTTCCGAATAAATTGCATGGAGGTCACAGGCTAGAGCGCAATTCCTGTATAAAACGTGAGGCATTCTCTGGCGGGATCGGGGGTCTTGATTGAATTGCAAGGAAGTCTTGCTTCAATTGCGAGGAAGTCTCAAGCGGGAGCGCCGTTCCTGAGTAAATTGCGAAGACGTCTCAGATGGGAGCGGGAGTCCTGACTAAATTGCGAGGAAGTCATGGGTGGGAGCACCGATCCTGAGTAAATTGTAAAGAAGTCTCAGGAGCGGGGGTCCTGAGTAAGTTTGGAGGAAGTCTCGGGCGGGAGCCGTTGTCGTAATCCGGGGGGCCAGGGGCCCAGTTTGAGCAGGAAGACTTTCCCTGACAAAAAACAGGGTGCGAGCGTCGAGGGGCACACTTTGATTGAGAAAAACAAATATGCACCGGTGAGGGGGGATCAACAACGATTATCCTTCAGACATGAAAGTTCAACAACGGCTTCCGCCTGATACTTCCTCACAATGTATTACCGAATCGCGCTCCCGCGCACGAGTTCCTCACAATGAATGCAGAAATCGCGCTCTCGCGTGGGGCGTCTTCGCAATTGCTTCATACGCCGCGGCCTCGACACTCAGGAATCATTCTCTTGCGATGGATGTCCTCATGTTTCATTTGGGAATCGCGTTATTGCTCGAGACTTCCTTGCGATTCATTCATGCAGGACGAATGCTTCAGCAACCTGCCCGCCCCTTGTCCCTTTCGTCCATCCGTCCTCTCTTCCCCTGCATTAGGGGCTGCACGAAATACACGGTGCAGGTCAGAAATATATACCCTTAAAGGAGTACGATCGAAGACTATGAGGGCTGGTTTCGAGGGTTTGGGACATACTTCTTGGCTGGCACGCGAGGAGACGAGAGCTATCTGTCATACAATGGTTGTTTTGTTGGTCTTGCTGTTATTCGCTGTTGTTGTGTGTTGTTAGGTAACGTCGTCGCCCGCGTCCCACGCACCCGCCCAGCAACCCACCCTGCGACCCGCCCCGCGACTCACCGGGTGACCCACCCTGCGACCCACCCCGCGACCACCCCGCGACCCACCTCGCAGCCAACTCACGACCCACCAATGCTGCTCTGACGAAAGTATCGGCGCCTGCGGCGGGCTTGTTGCGCAAGGTATTTAAAAATGCAACGACTGCGGCGACCACCTTCAGAGCCTCGCAGACTGCCGACGACCCTGCCGCTCCCTCACTCCGATCCGCAATTGCGGGGTGCCACGTGTGCAAAAATATACACATTCGCCACCTCCTGATGTCAAAAGCCGCCGGTCCTCGATAGCTCGTACTGGGAAGCCAGATTGGTCGACATCCACGGGTTTCCTCCGGTGCCTGTTCGGTATTTTTCGGGTGACGAGGGAGCCTGTCGTGTGGCTTGTTCCAAGGCCTGGTCGGCTCTCGGAAGGGCTGAGGGAGCTCCCAAGAAGGCCCACGACGGTCCAGGGTCCCCGAGACAGCCCATGAGCACCATAAGAGGCCCCCGAGTATGGTGCGACCTCCCTGTGCCGTTGGGTAGCGCGGTCGGGGGATCTGGCGTCGTCGCTGCCCCCGCCGTTGGAATAGCACTACGCAAAAGGGTAGCCAGCGCAGGATCTCTCGCGGCATGGCCAGCTCCGGCGCCAGAGGGCCTGGGAAGATCAGTCGTTGAGGTTGATAACTTCTGCAACTGCGCCTGCTCAGATGCTGTCATTCCTTCGTCCGTTTAAGAGAGAGAGAGAGAGAGAGAGAGAGAGAGAAAAAAAAAAAATTAGAGAGGAAACATACAGAAATAAGAAAAACATATGAAAACAAGCAAACATGAAAGAGATAGAGAGAGATATATATGAAGAAGAAGAGAGAGAGAGAGAGAGAGAGAGAGAGAGAGAGAAATATATATATACAGAGAGGGATAGAGAGAGAGAGATAAAGAGTGAGAGAGGGAGACAAATAGACGCGCAGTACTACTGAAGGAGGAAGTCGGCAGAAGGAGCGGAGGAGGGGCAATGACTGATCCGAAAGCTGGATAAAACTACCCGCAAGCCGACCAGGCCATCCGTACACAACATATGGGCAGCAGGGCGGCCGTTAAGAAAATTGAGACTGCGTCCGCAATCCGACCAACGCGAGCAGCTTGAGTGGCACTGTGAAAATCCGAAGCGGCTGGCATCTTGCGCCCCGCTGCTCCAAGCCTCGGTGACGACTCGGCTGCGGGCCAGCAGGAAGACTCGATCCCGCAGGGGGCAAGCATCGCACACGTTCGTCATCTGAGGGAACAAAAAAATCTGCCGCAAGGTTCGACCTGAACAATGATTTCCGCTTTCAATGAGTTGACGCTTTCCTTCGTTCTGTCCTCATCGCGCTTGACCTGAAAGAAGCACGGTCCAGGAGATCGCTAAACCACCGTTCAGGTCGAGCCGTGATCCGCCGAACCCCGCTTGACAGGAGTGAACATGCGTGAGAGATGATTTGCTGTTCGCCTCCCCCTTCCCCCCTCCCCTGGGGTCGAAGATCCGATTCCGGGGGGGGGGAGGCGTGCGGGGCGTCCCCATGAGCTCGCCAACGCCTTCCCGGAGTCTCCAGAATCTCCGAAAATGCGCAAGAGAGCACCAGATGCCCCACACAGAACGCCACGACAGTCCAAAAGAACGTCCAGACAGCCCAAGGTAGCCCCTCGACGGTCCAAGATGTCTCGAGACGGCCCACAATGCTCCAAAGACGACCCATGAGAGCTCCAAGAGGGGACCGCCGAAAAGGCCCCAAGAGGCAAGCATCGCCCAATTCCCTTCGGAAAACGTGCATGCTTAGCGTACTCACCTTGGGTCTCCCAAGATCGTTATAAGACGGCCGACGAGGCCCCTAAGACGGCAGCAAAACTGCCAAAGAGGGCCCTGACATGGCCCCAGATGCCCCGAACTGCCCCAAGAAAACCCCGAGAGGGCCCCAAGAAGGGGAATACGAAATGATATTTCGATCTTGTCCCTCCAGGATGGCACGAAGAGCACCCAAGAGGCCCCCGAGGAGCCCGCAAGAGGCCCCATCTTAGGAGGCAAAAGGCCTCCAACAGGCACCGGAAAGACTCCCAAATGCACACAGGAACCCTCCAAGAGGTCCCTGCGAGGCTGTTGAGGCGTTTACTATTACAGTATGAATTTCCAGAACACTTGGTCCTGTAGTGTAATGGGCGTGCGTGGGAGTGGGGTTGGAAATCGGGGAGGATTTGTACAAAAGAAATTGAGAGGGGTTAGGGAGGATTTGTGAATTGGGGGGTGATTCTACAAAAGGAAAAAGGAGGGGCTCGGGAGGATGAGGGAATTGGGGAGAATTCAGCAGAGGGGTTGAGAAGGATTTGAGAATCCGGGGGGATTCTACAACAGGAAAAAAAGTTGGGGAGGATTTGGGAATTGAGGATACTACAAGAGAAAATGAGAGGGGTCGGGGAGGATTTGGGAATTGGGGAGGATTCCACAAAAAGGAAAACAGATGAGTTGGCGAGGATTTGGAAAGTGGGACAGATTCTACGGAGGGGTTGGGGGGGATTTTGGAATTGGGGGGGATTCTACAAAGGAAAAAAAAAGAGTTGAGGAGGATTTGGGAATTGGGGGGAGTATTTAAAAGAAACTGGGAGGATTCTCCACATGGAAAAAAGGATGAGTTGGGGAGGATTTGGGAATTGGGTGGATTCTACAAAAAGGAAACACGAGGAGTTGGGGACGATTTGGGAAGCGGGCAGGATTCGGCAAAGGAAAAATGAGTTGGGAAAGAATTGGGAATTGGGAAGGATTTTGCAAAAGAAACAAAACAAAATTGGTGAGGATTTGGGAATTGGGCCGGATTCTACAATAGGAGTCAAAAAAGGGGAGGAGGATCTGGGAATCTACAAATGCAGGGACGGATCTGGGAATGGGGACGATTCTACAAGAGCAGGGGAGGATCTGGGATTGGGGGCGATTCTGAAGGAGTCAAAAAAGGAGTTGGGGAGGATTTGGGAATTTGGGGGGATTCTACAAACGAAAACACAAAAGGGTTGGGGAGGATTTAGGAGTTGGGGAGGGCTCTCCAAAAAGAAAATGAAGAAGTGGTGAGGACTCGTGCATTGCGGAGGATTCTACAAAGGAGTAAGGAATACTTGGGGAGGATGTGGGAATTGATGAGGACTCAAAAGGAGGAAGAAGTGTGAGTTGGGGAGGATTTGGGAATTGAGGGGGTTCTACAAAAAGGAAACAGGAGGAATTGAGGAGGATTTGGCATTTGTGGGGGAGTCAACAAGAAGGAAAAAGCAGGAGTCGGGGAAAATTTTGGAGTTGGGAAAGGTTCTACAAAGGAAAAAACAAAAGTTGGTGAGGATTTGGAAATTGATGAGGATTCCACGAAAGGAGAAGGGAGGAGTCGGGGAGGAATTCGGGATGGGGGAAGATTCGGCAAAAGGAAGAAAGTAGCCGGACGAAGGACCCAACCATATGCAGGTGCGAGTACCGCAATTGTGATTCACATGTTCGGTGGCCATCCCTATGAGGCAACGAACCGCGCTAGGGGTGCGCCGAAATGAGTGGCGTGGTACACAACGCGAACGAATACGATTGATCTGAGTACGTAGGGAGACTGAGCGCGGGCGAATCTGAGGGCGAGCGCGTCTGACTGTAGCTGAATCCGCGTGCGAGCTCGTCTACGCGCATAAATGCGAGTATGACAAAGCATGGTGACATGTTATATGAATGTCAATAGTTTGAGGATGACTGTATCTGAGTACTCGTGACGCTGGGCGTGGCCGCCGCAAGGAGATTCCCCGGGACCCCCCGACGGCATCGCCCGCGCGCCGCGACGCCAATGTCGGCGCGCCCCCCCGCGAGGATCGCGCCCGCTTCCTCCCCTTCTGTTACTCCCTCTTTGGCCGCGCACTCAAAAGTCCAAGGCTGCGGGCGCAGCGCAGCGCGGAGCCCCTGCGACGCGCGCAGGTCGCCCCGGAGGGGTTCCAGCGACGCGCGCAGGTCGTCCGCTGCGCGGAGCAAAGAGAGCTAGCTTGCTGGCTGATAGCGGGTAAGGCTCTTGCCGCTGGGCAGAGCGACGACGGGCGAGCGAGGCGCGGAACGCCGACGGTCTCCGACGGAGGTGTACTGGCTGGGGGAGACGCATGCGGACTGCGCCACGGGGACCTCCGGTGGAACCCCTATGGGGCCTCGAAGCGCTGTACTGAGTGGGGGAGACGCATGCGGACTGCGCCACGGGGACCTTCGGTGGCGCTCCCCATGGGGCTACGAAGCGGTGTACTGCGCGAGGGAGACGCATGCGGACTGCGCCACGGGGACCTTCGGTGGAGCCCCTATGGGGCCACGGAGCGCTGTACTGGCTGGGGGAGACACATGCTGACTGCGCCACGGGGACCTTTGCTGGAGCTCCCTATGGGGCCACGAAGCGCTGTACTGCGTGAGGGAGACGCATGCGGACTGCGCCACGGAGACCTTCGGTGGAGCCCCCGTGGGGCCACGAAAAACGCTGTACTGGGGGGTGATGATACTGATGTTGATGATGATGATGATGATGATGATGATGATGATGATGATGATGGTGATGATGACGACGATGATGACGATGATGATGATGATGATGAAGATAAAGATGAAGATGATGAAGATGAAGATGGAGATGGAGATGGAGATGGAGATGAAGATGAAGATGAAGATACAGATGATGATGATGATGATGACGATGATGAGAGGAGGGAGAGAGGAAGGAGGAGGAGGAAACGTGGGGACCGTCTCTTCAAAACGAGGACCCAACAACACAGGTTGGTTGGGAAACAACAGTTGGGGAGGATTTGGGAATTGGAAAGGATTCGCCAAAGGAGAAATATGGAGGTTGAAGAAGTGTGTGGGCTTTGGGAAGTGGGGAGGATTCTACAAAGGAGAAAGAAAGAGTTCGGGACGGTTTGGAACTGGGGAGGATTCTCCAGAAAGGAAAAAGCAGGAGTTGGGGAGAGTTTTGGAAGTGGGGGGATTCTCCAAAGGAAAAAGGGAGAGTTGGTGATGACTTGAGAATTGGGGAGGGTTCTACAGAGGAGAAATGAAAGGAATTGAGGGGGGGATTGGGAATTGCGGAAGATTCCACAAAGGAAAAATTCGCCGACCCTGTCGGCGTGTGTGAGGGCCTTCGTCCGTTCGAGTCGTCATCTCCGTCATTCGTTTGTCGTCGTCTCTGTCGTCCTCTTCCCCCCCTTTCCCAGGGACCGCCTCAGCCCGTCATTCGTTTGTCGTCATGGCTGTCGTCCTCTTCCCCTCCTTTCCCAGGCGTTGAGGAACGCCGTAATGGAGTCGAATGGAAGCCCCTTCCCTTCGATCCCTCCCCCGCCAGGGGGGGGTCCTGGGGGGGGGGTCCAGGGAGGGGTCAGATGCGCAACGCTCTCCCGGGGATTCCCGGAGCTCAAAAGAGTTCCACAAAGGGCCAAGTGTGGTCTAAGATGCCCCGGAGACAGCCCACGAGAACCCCGACTCGCCTGACGATCTGTCCAAGACGCCTTCACGGCTTCCAGACGGCCCAAGAGGCCTGCAAGACGCCCCAAGAGGCATCCAGAAGCTTTCCCACGAGAGCCCCAAGAGGCAAACTTTGTAGATGCCCCATAACGTTTTTGCAGGATTTTAGCGCTCTTGTCTCTGACGTTTGCCAACGCGCCAAGACGGCCCATGAGGCCCCCAATATCGACCCGAGACACCCCAAGAGGCGCCCAAAAGCGTCCCCTAACGGCCCAAGAGGGCC